TTCCTGTATAAACATGCAAAGAGTCTTGCTTCATAAGGAAACCGAGAGGAAGTTGGAAGCCTACAAGGTTAAGGCAGTGTACTGTAGAACTGAAGAATTTTGTGGGTGTTCACAAAAGAGCAAAAATACTCCCTTTTTAAATACTGAAGAAAAAAAAAAGAGTTATTAATTGTTTATATAGAACAACATGTTTCCTAGCTCTTAACAATGAGTGATTTTGCATGTGTTAAAATAATTTGTTTGCTTAATTAATTGAATTTATTTACCATTTGTTTATGGAATAATCATGAAACATTAGATAATGGAAGCTAGTTTTCACTAGGGGCTTGACTTACTAAAGCCTGACATATGAAAATCTGATAATCGAAGTTATGCCAAAATGGTGTTTACTTATATCTGCATTTAGAAAAAAAATATCCAGGTGACTTCAAACACTCCCATATAAGAACATTAAAATAGCAATGCCAGAAGTAGGAAACACTTATAAAATAAATTCTATGCCTACAAAAATCACTATATCATTTATCCCTAAAACTTCAATGTAAACCAAGTTAAAACATATATAGTTACATAGTGAAAAGAGACTAGAGACATTGTGTCCCTAGTGTCTCAGTGTCCCCAAGTGTCTCAGTGTCTGTGTCCCCATGTGTGTCTGTGTCCCCATGTCTCAGTATCCCCACGTGTCCCCATGTGTGTCTGTGTCCCCATGTCTCTCAGTGTCCCCTAGTGTCTCAGTGTCCCATGTGTATCTGTGTCCCCATGTCACAGTGTGCCCATGTGTGTCTGTGTCCCCATGTCTCACAGTGTCCCCTAGTGCCTTAGTATCCCCATTTCTCCCTGCAGCCTATACCTAATCCCTCACTTCCCATAAACTGTAGGTTGTCTCTGCTGGCCGGGAGCTACTGTCTGGATTATCTGTGCTGTGTAGCTGCTCTCCTGCGGATCAGTCAGTAGAGAGATGCAGGTATATGCTGTAACTTCCTATCCCTGCCTCTCTCCACACACACAGCGAGCCCTACTGGCCGGTGCTAGTATTGCAGAGTAATATCTGTTTATACTGAGAAAAATACCGGCATTTGCATTGCTGGTATTACTGCAATATCGGCACCGGCCAGGCAGTCTCAAATAAATACCAGCCAGATGGCAACCCTAAGAGTAATATGTAAAAAGTAAAGATTTTTTTTTTAGATCAATGGGCCTATTCCATGGGCCTGGAGCTGCAGCCCCTATGTTAACCCAGCCCTGACCTTATTTGAGGGCTCTTCCATATAAGAACATTAAAATAGCAATGCCAGAAGTAGGAAACACTTATAAAATAAATTCTATGCCTACAAAAATCACTATATCATTTATCCCTAAAACATCAATGTAAACCAAGTTAAAACATATATAGTTACATAGTGAAAAGAGACTAGAGACATTGTGTCCCTAGTGTCTCAGTGTCCCCAAGTGTCTCAGTGTCACCATGTGTCCCCATGTGTGTCTGTGTCCCCATGTCTCAGTATCCCCAAGTGTCCCCATGTGTGTCTGTGTCCCCATGTCTCTCAGTGTCCCCTAGTGTCTCAGTGTCCCCATGTGTCCCCATGTGTATCTGTGTCCCCATGTCACAGTGTGCCCATGTGTGTCTGTGTCCCCATGTCTCCCCTAGTGCCTTAGTATCCCCATTTCTCCCTGCAGCCTTTACCTAATCCCTCACTTCCCATAAACTGTAGGCTGTCTCTGCTGGCCGGGAGCTACTGTCTGGATTATCTGTGCTGTGTAGCTGCTCTCCTGTGGATCAGTCAGTAGAGAGATGCAGGTATATGCTGTAACTTCCTATCCCCGCCTCTCTCCACACACACAGCAACCCCTACTGGCCAGTGCTAGTATTGCAGAGTAATATCTGTTTATACTGAGAAAAATACCGGCATTTGCATTGCTGGTATTACTGCAATATCGGCACCGGCCAGGCAGTCTCAAATAAATACCAGCCAGATGGCAACCCTAAGAGTAATATGTAAAAAAGTAAAGATTTTTTTTTTA